AGCACTTAATGTAAAATGATTCTGAATGATTTTCTGACATGGTTTATAAAGTCATTTAATAAGCAGCCAACCAAGTTATGTTATCAGTCAGCCTGCAACACAGTATTTCACAGAACAACAGTTAGCAAAAAAACATGTTTAATATAGTATAANACTATAGGTTACTTACGTAACCCCAGTTCTCAGAGTAACATGAAGTGAGATGTCTCACCAGACGGCCCTCCTTGCTATGGTGAAGCGAGAAGAGGTGCTTATTTTGAATGACGCATGCGGCGTAGCGCAAGCTACTTATAGGGGGTGGATTCCCTGACGCTGACGTCAAGATCACCAGCCAATCAGGATTGGCGTAATGAGATTGATGCTTCTGTTTGCTCCGCGATGAGGCGCATCCCATAGTGAGACATCTCACTTCATGTTACTCTGAGAACTGGGGTTACGTAAGTAACCTATAGTTATGTTATCAGTCAGCCTGCAACACAGTATTTCACAGAACAACAGTTAGCAAAAAAACATGTTTAATATAGTATAATAGGATATATTCATGATGCATTAAGGGCCAACATAGAAACATGTTTCAACAACAACCACAACAACAACAACAACAACCACCACTTCAATATTCACCAGGCAATGTGCGTCATCTTTTATTTTGTATTGAAACACTGATGTGGAGGATGAGAGATGGAGAGGATGATTCTGCTGATTATCCTGGAATAGAATATTTCCCTTACATCTGATATTGAATGCAGAAGTCCTTCTAAAGAGCTGTATTGAGCTGTCACCACTGCAAAGTGGATGCATATTTTCAGCTCTCATTCTAATGTGGATCCAGAGATTCTTTATTCCTCATGAAAAAGAAACCCAATAAGAGACAAACATGCAGTATGCTGGACTACAATTGAAATATTTAATAGATTAACAAACACCAACTTTATTCACACAGGGTGAGGTTACAATTCTTACATTTGACAGGCTGAAAACAGCACTTCTGCCTCTTTTTGCATTAAAAGTCTGTTATCAAAATAGTTGCAGATTATCCGTCCACACACTCTTCTGACATAGAACATTCCATTGATGTACAAACCAACCCCAACAAACCTAGCATTATATCTCAATCTACAGTGATCCGAATCATCCCCGTGCAGACACTGTCCAGGGAACCGTTCCCACAGATCTCACTGCTGGTTTGCCAATGCTCTCTAATCCACAAGAATACCTCTGGGGAGGGGGCTAATCTATTTCCCAAGATGCTGCCATTCCTCTGAGCAAAGCAGAAACAAGTCACTATGGTAAACCAGGCTGTAAACCCACTAAAAACACCATACATTAAGAAGATTAATAAAACATTATCGAGATTATAAGCAACCCACTCCAGAATCCTAATGGAACATGAAAGTAGCGGCAGAGTTCAGTGAGACTGAACCGTGTCATATATTAAAAGATTAGAGAGTTCCCACAAAATGTACTCTCTATATGTCTCTTCAAAGGAATAGGTTGAGAACTTTGAACGATTAAATCCAAAAGGATTTTCTCTAAATATTACACTAAATAGTATGTATAGATATGTCCAGTAAATAGCAAAAAGTCAATTAAAAAGAGAAATGCCTACAAGAACAGAACTTTGTTCCATGTTCCACAACATATAACTCTAATAGTATCATAATCATTCAGAATGTAGTGCATACGTGTGTAGACATATTTCACACATGGTTTCAGTATTAATCAGTTTTAAATGTTTTGTGATCTGACAAACCTGTTTGTGTCTTCTATATTATTAGCATATTTATTTGAATGGATCATGTTTACTTTTTTGCCAGTGCTATTTGCAGTTTCTTTATTCTTTGGATTGTAAACTTTAATATGCTAGTGATAAGTCTAACTATATGCACATATATATATATGTATATCTATTAAGTGTATATAGAGATTAACATGAGACAGATGTTGAATATTCTTAGGTTCATATTTGAATAGCAGTTAGTAAAACAAGTGAACAGACTGTTGTACTTTACTGTTATTTGACCCTTGATAAAGGTCATATTGTTGCAAAAGTGTCAGGCCAGCTTTGTGTCTACGGGTGCCTCTTGGTATAAACCTAACCTGTGAGTTCTATTTATAAACACAGAATAGGAGATGTAGGTCAAAGGGCGTGAGTGCTGTCTTGTGGATAGAGACCACTGAGTCTGAGGCCTACCGTGAAAGTATAGACCATCTGCTGTTCCCGATCCACAGGTTTGATCAACTTCAGGTAGCGGATTATCCCAGTTGGGGTCAGGCTGAAGATCGTGGTGTAGTCATCCAGGGTAATCTTCACCAAGGGGTCTTTTGTCTTCCAACAAAAAGATATACAGAAAGAAACAAGTTACCATGGTGACATGAGTATTTCATCACCTTTGTTTTTCAAGGCCGTAGCTGTGGGGATGGGAAGACCTATCAGTACATTTTGATCCGTCAAAGAGTTGAAAAAGTAATCTCCTGCAGGTCCCTCATCTATCTTAAGAAAACAGCGGAGAAGGAGCAGAGGAGGGGAACAAGAAACCAATGTTTTGATACACGATAGTATCAAGAAAGAGAGGAAATCACTTCTGCTAAAACAACTTACAAGCATTACAGCCTCTGATGCTTTTTAGGGAAATATATTGACGACATTAAGCAGTCGTTAAAAGGTATTGGTTTAATAGCTTTTGTTTAGGGCATCCAGGTACTAAATAAGATTGAAAACATTATAAATAAAGTTCCATTTATCCAAAGATGTCTCATCACTGATGTGGTTTGATTGTGTTACAAATAGACCTCGAGTCCATTGTGGGCCATTGCTGCTAGTCGGCTTCGATTCCCGTCCATCAATGAGTCCTCTTAAGAGAGTTTGGTAAACATCGGAACTGGGTGGCTTATTGATTTTGTTATCTCTGCTTCCACTCCACTATGATTTGTTAATCTTCTCCAAACACGGAATAAAGGGTTTTGTGAAAGATTAACTAAAGGTAGCAGTCATTTGTTTTGTTCTGTGTGTGTTTGAGACGGTGTGTATCCACCCATTCAAACATAAATCTATCAGTGCAGTTAGGATATGAGGAAAATGTAAAGCATTCTCCGCTGTGGTTGGTGAAGACACACACACAAACACACAGTTTGTTAAATGTGTCAAACAAATATGTCAAAACACCCCCTTCCACCAACTACACACACAACAATCAATGACAAATATTTTGAAGTTGGTATTCAAAGAGAATAATTCCATAAATTCTGACTGAAGCTATTGCAGAAACCACATCAACAAACACCCATCTGCATAGAAAGAAGAAGAACACTGCACAGCAAAACACTGCAAACAAAAACACTCCCATTAGGATAAAGAGTCAGTGCATCTAGATTAATCCACGCACACACACCTGCTACTACCAGAGACTTGCATTGCATTTCATTCTATGATTTTCATTATTTTGAAATATTAATACAAAACAAATCATTTCTGAAGTGGACATTTGGCAGAAACAATGGAAAGCTAAACATGTAATATTTGGGATGTCTCCAGCAGCAGATTAGTGTTATCAGTTTGTTTTTACTTTGTGCGAAGTGATGTATCAAATAAATCTAGGGATGTCCCGAGTTAGTTTAAGAGCAGGGATCAAGTTTATCCAAGACTTTATTTTTCATGGATTAGTGTACTATCCACTTATAGTATTTTTTGTTTTATAAAACGTATTGAGCTCAAGGTAAGCTACATTTACAAGTGTTTCCCCTTTAAAAACACTGTAACGAACCACTTTCTGTAGCAGAGGCGTAGGACTAATTATTCATCGATTTCAAGTTGTAATTTGAAACATGTGGTTAGCTAATTACAAACCTGTGATTTAAGATACACAGTGTTCACTGCTTGTGATCCAGGGTTTAAATTGTTTCATTAAAACATCATACTATCCTGTTGACCACACAGAGAGAGTATAGCCCATGGACTAAGAAAGTGCAGCTGGAGCCTGAAAGAAGACGGCTGTAGAGTGTGCATCACAACTGATAATGGATCAAATGTAACCAATGCTGAGGAACTAAATCAATGCACCAGGCTTCAGTGGCGGCCAAAGGCTGCATCATGTGATTGATAATAACTCCGTCTTTCTGGCTGTTTGTCTGTGTACTCTCATGTTCCGATTAACCCAGTTTCCCCCCAAATCTCTTTTTTGTGTCCATATCTACGCCGGGATCCTGAGTCGAGGCTCATCCTGTTGCTGTGGTCGTGTGTCCTGGATCCTCTATCCTGAGCACTGAATCTGAGTCCTGGACTTCGAGTCGTGGCTGAACCTGTTTCTGCGGTCCTGCCTGACTCTCATCATACTACTTCCCTGATGGCTCCCACAAGATTGCTGACATCCTCGTGGATTCATCTTCTTATTATAGACACATGCATTTCCGAACATTTGGACTACCTATGTTGTAAATGTATTATCTTTTCGATTTACACACGGCATCTATTGCACGTCTGTCCGTCCTGGGAGAGGGATCCCTCCTCTGTTGCTCTCCCTGAGGTTTCTCCCATTTTCCCTTTAAACTGTGGGGTTTTCTCTGGAAGTTTTTCCTTGTACGATGTGAGGGTCAAAGGACAGAGGGTGTCGTATTGTCATACTGATATTCTGTACACACTGTGAAGTCCACTGAGACAAATGTAACATTTGTGATATTGGGCTATATAAATAAACATTGATTGATTGATTGATAATTGCAGCTCTCTGTTCAGTAATTTCTGCTCGTCCTCAGTGTTTTGTTTGAATTGCTTTATGTTTTCTTTATCAGAAATTGCTCGGAAAGATGATGCAACACTTAATAGGGAAACAGGATTTTGTAAACAGACTATTTCTTGCACAGTTTTTGGGAGAAGGCCACACTGAGTGAGAAACAGCAATAATTAAATCTGCCAGAGCACTCGTTGATTACAGGGTTTCCAACAAGATGGAGTTCAGCGCAGAGGATGATTGGGAGGGTGTAGGAGCAGAGCAAAGCCTCGTCTCAGGTACGGTCTGAAGAGAGTCAACGAAGCAACTGTGACCAACTTGGCAGGATGTACAGTGTCGAATCAATTAACATGTCCCTGTGTCCTCTCCAGGATTTTACACATGCCCTCTCTGTTGTGGCGCATGTAAGGATGTCATACCTGAAGCTAGTTCTGCATCTTCCAAGAACATCAACTCTTGTTGAAAATGACGAGAACACAGACAAAGAAACATGTTCGGCAAGCAATACAGTCAGAAGCCCTTGGCTACTTGGAAGCTAAATATAGCACTAGGAGCTTATCGACATTACTTTGTTCATTGATCCAAGATTAACTACATAAGCGTGAGACTCCTAGGCAGTGTGTGAAGATGAGGAGAAACAGGTGACCCGAAAGTTAACTCGTCTTCTTCTGTATGTGTTAGTTAGTGGAACAATGACAATGTGCCGCAGCGAAGACCAAACAAACAAGACAAAACAGATGTGTTTTACAGCGAGCATTTTGTTTGAGGTGGAAATTAAGAGAATGTATCTTGAAGTAAATTATACCATGCACTGCAAGAGGCTGTAACATTAAATATTCTAAGAACAGAGAGCTTTTGAGTATTGAAATCCTTTAATTGACTTTACTGACTTAAATGGAGGGCTGCTTTAAGCTGTTTAGAGTTCACAGAGCAGCTGTATAATGCAAGAAAACATAAATATTGGATTCACCTCTGTATCAAAATATATGAATATAATACTACAACAGTTATTTTTTAATGGACTAAAGTGGGGGATTAAGTGCAAAGAAACATGTTCGGGACATCCCTATTACACTCTGTATGTTTCTATGTGTGTGAGTGTGTGCCATTGCATCTAAGAGCAACCCCCTTTACCTACAGGTGTATCACCAGGATCCAGCTAAAACAAGGAGAAAAATACAGCAGGAAAATGAGTATTGAATGTGAACGCACAACAAAAACTTGTAAATAAATATGAACCTGTAAACAATATATAATCAAATGCACCACATGTGCTTTGTATTTGAATGCACACATTTATGGGTGGGCATGTGTTAAGTGCAGGGAGCCTTGTAAAGGTTCTTGCTTTCTACCTCCTCAATGTCATTATCCAGAGCGATGATTCCCAGGGGCGCAGTGAGGTTGGCACTGGCGGAGATAGTCGTTCCCACTGGGGAGGACTCACTCACATAGCCCTGATAGGTGGCAAACTGGAAATACGGTGCCTGGTTGTTCTCATCCAGGATTTCGATAATGAGGTCAGCGTAGGCCGGGAGGGGGTGACCGTTGTCCTGTTCAGCCTGAAATTATACGAAAAAAGACAAGAGTGAGTCAAATGACTGATAACCAGTCTACTAGAAATGTATTAAGAAGTACTAATAATGAGTTGTAAGATTAAAGTAAGACACTTAAGTGTTATGCTGTCCCAACTGTTATGCAGACATAGGGACAAAAAGCGTCATTTCAATTACAAAAAGCTACATTTGCTAAATGTAATCAGGGGTCCATTTAGGATTAGGCCTTAGTAATTACTAGAGCACTTAACGCAAATACCATCATTTGACGGGGAGAGGCAGTAATTAGTGGCTCTAACTACTCCGTCAAATTGGTGACCATTGATAAAAAGCAGGGTCAATGGGTCCCCTTCTCACTAAGTCAGTGCCAGAAATGGACCAATTAACTAGTAAACATGGCTGTCTCCATTAGTGCTTACTCAACTGAGCTTAAAACTGTCTGATGATGTACTCTGTTTTGCCTGAAAGCTTGAAATAAAATGTGGAACTGTTTGGTATGACAAAATCCCAGTCAACATCTCTTCCTCATGTTTATTTCTTTCTCCAGAAACTGACCTGCAGCATCGAGCCACGGAAAACAACTCATATTGCAAGATGGGGTTCATTTTAATGTTAACAAAAATGACTGAATAAGGTTCAAGTCAGTTGTTGAGAAAACTAGCAATAATAAAAACAAATCCTGCTACATATAATTAATATATTACCGAATACTGGAATTTGATACAACAATGTTACAACACAGTTTATGCACACAGTCAATTCCCAGAGCTGGACACTCTCCCAAAAATACATGAGGGAATTGTTGATTCACCTGCATCCAAAACTAGCTTGTGTGTGTCGCATACTGCTCACCTACCAGAAGATAAACATCTCTTATTCTTCATGTTGTTCCACAGTTGACATGAATGCTTAAGAAACACAGCTAATTACTGCAAATCAAAATGTGTGTTGTCCTAACTATCAAACTGTACCAAAGCATAACAGAGCTGTTCTTTAACCCGAGTTCAGTCTTACACCAGCTTAGTGAAAGAAGTGTGGTCAGGCTGTCACTGCACATTTTTTCCCTCCGAGGCACATATGTTGCTATTGGCTCCCACACTGGGATGCTTCAGAAATATTGAGGCTTTGAAAATACAGATGGAGAGGGGGTGTGAGGCGACATCAGTTTAAGCCATGACCTGGAACTAATTCTGCACATTAGCTCAATTTCACTGGGCTTGTGTTGCAGACTGACGATTGTAACAGAATCATTTGTTTCTACAGCTACATGGAAAAAATGCTAGGGCCAAAACTACTCAGAAGATTGCTGTTATTTGTATTGTTTGTCTTTTCTATTGCAAAACCCTGCCCCGCCGTTTTTGGCACATCAAGTTGAGTTTCACTACAGCTCATATTTTTATTGGCATCGCAATAAAAATGCCAGGAAATCTTCACCAATCATCTTCTACCTTCCTCTCTTATCTGATGATAAAGAACACTCACAATGCAAGGACCCAAAGATCCAATCTGCTCACACAAACACCTGAGGGACAAGTGGTGTCATTGACGAACAAAGTGTGTGTGCCTCGATGTTCTCGCTACTTCTCAGCATTAACAAAGAAAAATTTCGTCCGAGAGAAAAAAGACGGGGTGTGAGATTACTGTGTTCCCTGGTCATTCAGCTCTTTAGCGATGTCCTTATTTCTGTGAGGCAGTGCTAAATGACCTGCGCTCCACTGCTACTACACACAAGCCTGCAGGAGATTCACTGCTTCCCAAAGTCAGTGTTTATCAGTCTCAATGCTGCTGTCCTGACTCCATTGCCTTAGAGCGCCATACTGCATTTCTTTGCTTCCTTGTTTCTATTAAACCACGCTATTTCTCTCCATCTGCCTTTGTCACTTGTCTTCATTTCGTCCATGTAATCCTAGTGGAAATAGCCCTATCAGGATCAATCATGACTTTGGAAGATAAACAGATCTTTTTTTTTTTAAATATGCTTGAGGTGCTGCAGCTCACCCCATCCCATATATGTTTTGAAGTCTTTTAAAGCATTAGCTATGTACACCACATGCTGTGCCGCAGAACTCTCAAGATACCAAAGTCTAATTCTCACTTTCCTGCCCCTTGGATATCTTGAGCAACGGTTCCTCTCCCCCTCTCTATGACTAAGGTAGATAAGACTCCTCCAGTACTAGACACCATACACATATCTCTCTCGATCTTCATTTTTTTTTTGCTCTTTGAACTGTTTCCCTTCCCCTAGCTATGCACAACCCTTACGGAAATATGCAAAAACTCTCTCTATACGATCAATCTCCTCTTGCCTTCTTCCTCTGGTGAAAATCAGCTGTTCCTCTCATCTTTTTACTCCACAGCTATCCCGGTAAACAGCCTGTTACACAGTGCTTAGAGGTGTGTAGAGGTTAGTGACGGGTGGATGGAAAGTTCATCTGCACTGCTGCTCTCCACCAGCAGCACCGAGGCAATCCCTGACTCGGATCCAAATTAGGATTCATGAGAGACTAGAAGGCTATCCTCCTGCTAAGTCCATAAATCATAACATATTTTTCACCCTAGATCTCCAAAGCAGCTAAAGATAAGGTTAATGGCCTTCAGGTTATCTAGGTGGAGCTGAAAAGTGTGGATGTTTAAGTTATAGAGAAAAGTTCAAACTTGATTTGGCACTAGCAAATAAAAAATAAAAGCTCAGATTGAGAAGAATCTTTGCTTATAATAATCAGTGTTTTGGTTTGGGCTGAACCAACGACAATCAGCCCCATTGAGTTTAGTAAATGCAACGTTTATATACGTTTTGGCCAATCAATTTTTTTACTTTTCTATCATTGTAAACCAATTTTGTGACCAAACATTCTTCAATTTCTCTGTATGAATGAAGAGTATGTACAAAATAAACACAATACATCACAAGTACATTGCGGTCAAAAGTTTGTTTCGTAGTGGGTTTAGTTTCCATCAAAATCGCACAGTAAATCTTGACATCAGAATAGTCAAAGTCCTTTTAAAAAAAGCAAGCACTGATTGGGATTGAGTTTGTTTACCTTGATGATGAGTGTGAAACGTTGGTACAAGTCCCTGCTGATAGGCTGCAGAACACGCAGCTCTGCAGTGGTTCTGTTCAGGGAGAAATACTCTCGGTATGCTACTGGATGACCTGCAATAATAAAAAAAAGAACATTCAAAGATTTGGATTCACTGCACTTTATGATAACGTCGAGGACACCGAAATGAAAATTCAGAAGTCAAGTCATGGCTGACGACCGAGCCAAAGAACATTAAATGCGCACAATCAATCAGGATACGTGATGCACCTACCAACTAGGATGTAGTAAAGAATGTTGGGTCTGTTTGACGGGGGCTGTATGTTCCTGTCCATGTCCACGGCCCGGATCGCAGGGGTCACATTCAGTGGGTTCAGTTTGCTCTGCAACGAGGGGAGGGGGAGTCAGTCAACAACACGGCAAGATAATCAGATGCAAATCTGTTTATTTTCTGTTGACTGTCTAGTTGTAGCACAGCCATTGTCTCCTGAAATAACTTTGAGAGCATTATTATTCAGAGATGGGATTTTTATTGTCTTGTAAAAAGAGGAAATACCACTTAGAAAGGATATCAGCAGCCCCGAAAAACACATTATGTCCTATTTATCATTATTTTGGCTGCTGTGTAATCTTATGTGACGTGTTCCTTAGAGAAGCTGCTCTTCCTGGCCCCCAAAAACGGTTTCCTACTTTTAAAGTAGGATCAGAGGAGCTGCTGCGACTGGCCTCCTTGTAAACTGAATATTAGGAAGAAATGCAAATACAATTTCTTATATAAAATGAGGAACCAATGACCTGCAGGGAATTACATTAGCAGTCAAAGTCCGAAGCACACGGGTCAATTATTGGGATATTTAATTAATAAGCAATTCATTAGATCCCTTTCTCATCATTATGCTTCCAAATACACCACATCGAGCTGCGCATCAAGGTTAATCTGTTTGCAGTGCTGTAGGCTGCCTTTTCCTACTCATGCACACTCAAACATATTGAGCTCTCATTTACACAGCTCTTCGTCTATACCTTTGCCCCAACATATGGCTAAGTGGAAATATGTTTAGCACATCACATTTATGAATACATCTCTGATGATAAATGCCTCCATATGGCAGATAGAGTATGCGTAAGTATGCTAAGAGGCCTGAGCTAAACTTCCTTAACGTAGAAAGACACATGGCTAACATCTCTCTGGCAGGAAGAATCCCTTCTCGGGGGGGATACATTTATATCCCTCAGCTCTGAAGTAATCCTTACACCCCCCCCTAACCAACCCTCTCGCTTTTACAATGTCTGGAGGTGCGCTAAATCAAATCCCTCCAGCGCTGCACAATGATGATTAGCTATAATACCCTCCTCCAACAGTCATTATCCGGGGGACTCCAGAGCCCGCATTATATCCCCCCAGGGCAAAAAATAAATACAGATCAACTAAATAATGCCTGTCTAGCTATTGTGATTAATTACAATACACTCATCAATTATGAGACGACAAATCTCCTCGTGGACAGATATGTTAGCAGAACGGTTACACTGCAGAATAGAGATAAATCAAACACCAGCAAAAACTGCAATGCTAATTTAGACCACTCTTGAAAAGAAAGAAAGTAATATAAAATATCACTCTTTAAGGAAAATCAAATAAGGAGAAAAAGAGATACCTCTTTTGAAATTGACAATTCGAGGAACTCTGAATGTATGGAGGAGACATTATGTTTGAGAACAACATTTATATAAAGTAAAGGAAAATGTCACATCAGACTTTATTATTGCTGGTAGCTTGAAACCATGCAATGTTTGAAGGTGGAAAGCACAGAGAGAGGGAGAAAGACCAACATTTTCTCACACTAATGAAAAAGCTTTGGTTTGTGCAGCTGCATACTTAGCAGTCTGCAAACCTTTTATCATAAATTATACATTATGAGCAAACTCTGAATGGGAAGTCTGGACAAACAAAGTGAGTCACGGTGGCAGCTCCGGTACACACACAAGTGCAGAGACATACACCTACATGTATATACAGTGTACACTGTTCTGTTTACCTTTGTTTATTACTCCCTTTTCCCTCTAGCACTAAACCTCCAACCATTGATTTCTCAACCACTGTTTATAGTTCCATTTGTGTCATTATTGCAGACTTATGTTTTATTTAATTTCTCTCGCCCTCGTCTCAGATAAATTTGATTCAGTTTGACTCCAATTTTAGAAACATGACGACCAATTACAATAGCATACTTGATTCAGTCTTTTCCCAATACTGCTACAAAACATAATTGTTAGATATGTTGGTGTTGCTTACGAAGGTACACATTTGTTGCTCGATCTACAATATTAAATAACAACAATATAACGTGGTACTTATTATCCACAAACTGGAAGAATATATAATTGTCAATGAAAGAAATGAATTAACTTGCCAGAATAGATAACACTAAATGTATCAAACGTGCCCACGGAGGGTAGAGATCAACCTATCATATTTAAAAATTACAGCAGAAAAGCAATTTTAAACAAAACAAAAGATAAATGAAATCCTTTTGTGGTATAATGTTGTTTGTAGTTTCAGTCGTTAACTACACAAAAAAAGGCTAAAAATAAATGTTTATAATTGAATCACCACACAGTTATGAATGTAGTCAAACTACATGAAGTTACTGCTAAATGTAGTTAAACTACTCGTTTATTTACATTGGTACAAGATAATTCCGATCTTTGGGCATGTCGAGTTTCTAATTCCCAACTGTGTGTTTGAGGAAACTCGAGGAGGACCCATGTGATGACGCAGACAATGTTCAAACTCGATAAAGACTGGGGCCGGGCTCTGATCCAAATCTTCCTGCATTCAGGACGCCACAATGCCAACATCAATCCAGTCCAGAAAATCCAATCAAATCCAGTCTACAACTCCAGTCCAATCTAATTCAATTCAATACAGTTCAATCCAGTCAGCTAGGCCCGTCCAGACTGCTGATGAGAAGTGTGTTATACTCTTAAAACAGGAAGTACAAAATGGAGCTTGAGGTGATGTAGCTTTATAAAGTCTATTATAGTCCAATATAATAATTCAACACAGTGTAATTTATTGCATATCTCTTCATGCACTGTATATATAGATTTCTACAGACAAAGATAAAGCGTTTATAGATATGGACATCATCTCTATTTGTGCAACACCTCAGACTCTTTATCTAAGCTGCCAAATCATCTCCCCCTCTAGTTTCCTACTTCTATGAATTCCAGGGGTGTTTGGCTGTCATCCCAGGTCAACCCAGCCGTCAGCTCTAATTGCTGGTCCAACAGATCAGAGAATGCTCCTGGAATCACCATGCTGATACACAGCAGCAAAGACAACTCTTCCTCCAGTCGAGGAGACTAACAACAAGGTGTTAGCAGACAATTAGGCTCTTTAACATGTGTGGCATTTTGAAACATTTAGCAGGAGGGTAGATATGCAGCACAAATATGAATGATGCGGCTCAATGCACATGCACCCAGAGCACGACAGATAAAACACGACCTGCGTGCAAAAAAAACTAAAAATGCACATACTATTAACGGGAAGAATTTGTGTTCAAATGAACTTGTGGAAAGCCAGCGTGTTCACACTCCCCTGTCAGCCTGGTTCTTACCGGTTCAGTGAATTCTGGGATAGCAACACGGTAGGTGAGGGGGTTGCAGTCTCGAGTGTTGTTCACCAAAATGCAAGGCAGGAACATGGGGCCCAGGTCGTCTCCGTCCAGAACGTCCACAGTCAGAGTAGTCGTAGCTGTCCGTCTGTTCGGGGGGTATGGAGCACGGTCCTGGAAGAAGAAAAAATATTTTCGATTTGAACCTTTAAACTCCCAGATGATTTGTTACTTTGTGCACTGGGGCTACACACTGCTCAGCTAAAATCAATATAACATGTTAAAACCACGACAGACCTCTGCAACTGTTTTTCAGAATATATTACAGCTGTGGCTGTTATGGAAACTCAGTGATGCATTAATTCAGTTTTTATTCTACATTTGTTTGGCTGCAGGAAATGGGTGCTGAAATTCATTTTCATGCTTTAAGTAGAACATTATTGAATACTATCAAAAACAGTCAACATACTATTTTCACTGGTAAATAACACATTTTGTCATAAAATATCCAATACACTGTTTTCTCCAATATGCTTTTTTATATATTACATAGCACTTATGTTAAAGGATTCTTAGTCATTGAAGTAGAATGAAAAAGATAATGCAAACAATATGCATCAGACCACTTTAAATGCGATAAAACAGTACGACTCTTCAGTTTTCTTCTAAACATTTCTAAACCTTCTCAATAAACATATATTTTCAGCAGCCATCTCTAAAGATCACCCCTTGTGGTTCCGGCTCTTCCTGAGTGGTATCCTGCCAAGTGAGCAGCACAGCACTTCAAAGATTTGTGCTGTTAGTGTAATTGAACTCTTGACACAAGCATCACAGAGTTCTAGTAAATACAATGACTTCTTTCTTATTCTACTTTGACGTCCTCTTGCGAGAGAAAGTAAAGTATCCCTGGAGGACCACTTGCCGGGGTAAAGGGTTGAGTCTTTTGCTCCCTCATGCAGGAAATGGAGAGGAGAGGACATGGGTTAACTGCTAAATGCTGTCCAGCATTCATGTAGGAGTGGTGACCTCCTAAATCCCAGCCTTCTAATTAAATCTGCATTCCTGGCTGGTGCCTTTCTGGTGGCTCTTGGTCCACATACATTGCCTATTGACATATGATAAGGACTGGAGAAAGAGCATAAAGCTGCCTTCATTAAAACTCATTTTGGCATCATTAGCAGAACTTGTTTTACAATATTTTCACATTCATGTTGCCCAGTCAGAGTGTGAAGGAAAAGTGCATCCCTCAAGTTAAATCCATAATTATGCATACATAGTTACATAGTAGATATGCAAGGGCGCTCTGACACATTCTGAAATAACCGTCTGTATACCAGAGACAACTTCAATCACTTTGAATAAAAAATATGTAAGCTATCTCTGAATTACAATTAGGTGAGTTAAATAGATTGTCAGTGTGATGTCCTTACAGTGACTGCCAAATGAGATCTCTAATTACTTCTTATCAATGTGTAAAAAAGAAACAAGATTCCACGATTGGTGGACTAAAGATATAGGGTTACTTACTGAATGATGACCACATTTTGAAACCAGACCTTGCTTTAAAACTTCACTGAGGAAAATAAATGATGCAGTGTAAGGATTTGAAATCATTTAAGCAGCAAACTATTGACTTCAAGTTCAAAAAGTTTGCCCCCTAAAATAAATAAAATATCTGAAATATGGTAAAACTAAAACTGTTAGTGTCTTAGGCCAATACATAAAAACAGAACCTTGAGTGCTGCACTTCCACGCTCCAAATAACAAATTGTTAAGCTGCTGCGGCTGAACACAAAGCACCTATTGAGAAATGGTTTAAGGTGCATTACCCTCAAGGGCAATGCTGAGGTAGACAACCTTAGAAAGAAAAGTCCACAATCAAGGCCTATTTTTAATCTGTTGACATTGAGCATTTGCTGATCTTGACACTTGCAAACAAAAGTCACTTACATTGGCTTGGACCAAAACAAGGTAGCGAGTTCTCTCCTCATAGTTTAGCCTCTCAGCCAGAATAATGTGTCCTGAAAGAGTGTTGGCAACACTCACTGTTCTGTTAGATCCCTGAAAGAAAATGAGAGTTTATATGATAAGACAGAAGGAAAAGTGGATGTGAGCAATAAGTCATGATTGTTGAAGAAATTTACAATGGTGTAGAGGGTGTTTATCATGGCGTGACTTGTCCATATACCAGGTCATTGGGGTTGTAAAGTATGCTGTATTCTATATGTCCATTGGGTCCGTCGTCAATATCCGTAGCTCCATTATTCCCAGAGAAGCCATTGAAAATGGTCGTTCCAACTGGTGTGAGCTAGAGGAAAATATAAGAGCGGGGAGAAATAAAAAGTCAGCAGCTCAAATGGCCCACTGTGACTCCAACATGTACTTACAGCAGTGAGCCCATGCATAGGGCCATTACTGTTGCCACTCCAGCCCATTAGTACAACAAAAAGAAAAACATATATATCAGAGAGGGGGAAATGTTGCAGTCAGCAGCAGTCTGAAGGTTTACAGAATAACAAAAAAGTAAGAACCACTGCTGTTCCCCAGAGGCCTCAGCAGAGTCAATGGGAGCAGGCAGTGGGCAGTGGGGGGGGCAGTTGACAGCAATGCAGAGTTACTCACTGTTGTGCTTACAGTATGAAAAGGTAAACACACTGTGAAATAATGAACACACAATGCACACAAAAAGTGTAATCAATGGAGGCAAGTTGTCGGGAGTCTGAAAGCACAGATTTTATGAATGTTTTGAATCATTGCTGGTCATTCTGGTTTGTTTTTGATGCGAGATGAACATAAATAATTCCTCATACCGTCATGCCTGGCCAGTTTTAATGAACAAAAAGTCAAGTGAAAATTACATGTATCTTGACTGTTTCATCTCACAGGGAAGCACTTGGTTTGTGCAGCCATTGTACATAATTGATGTAAAGACGAAGATATTGAACTTACTTTTATTTCAAATATCAAACTGAAACATAACAAAATGTGTAATTAAGTAGACCTAAGTATCACCTCAGGGCTGCAGGTAGTATGATGTCATGGTCCTCAACATTGAGTAGACAACCTTATTTGATTTATTAGGGGGCTTTTTGGTCAGTCGCTTCTAAACTTTGATGACCCCACTGGCAGTGAAAAAAAAAGTTTCTTACTATAGACAGCAAAGCATGTCACTTACACTTATATAAATAAGTTCAAATTCTGCACACAGTGTCACAAAAGTCCAGCAGAAACAACAACAGGAGTTGCTCCCTTACCTCGTTTATCGCAACATAGTAGCGTGGCTGCTGAAAGCGAGGGTTGTTGTCATTTTTGTCCCTCACAACAATCCGTACCTCGTGAAAGATGACAGTGCCAACCAGCTCATTGTAGCACTGGACCTGAACCACGATGGTAGTGATGTAGTTGGGGGGCTGAGAGAGAGAGAGAGAGAGAGAGAGAGAGAGAGAGAGAGAGAGAGAGAGAGAGAGAGAGAGAGAGAGAGAAGACATACATGGTATTTACTGTAAGCATTACAATGGAAGTTGTTATAGATTTCAATTCTCTAAAGAACAATATGTGTACTATGTCAGAGATGATAACACGAGAGCAGCACTGACTGACCTTCACTGCTGTCAAAAACTAGCAGCAAACAAGCTCCCTAACAAGCGCAGAAAAGAAGCAATACACACAAAGGTTGCTCAAGGCGAAAGGTTCACACTAAGGTTGTTGTTGTTATAATATATCTCCTCTCTTTGCCATTTCTACACGGTTCTCTATCAAATAAAGGCAAAAGTGGGCCCAACAAATATTAAAATAAAGCAAGATCAACCAAAATGTACTTTCAATACTCTCATTAACGAAGCTGCCTGCATGGTATTGTTGTAAACAAATCAGGGTTATGTTTTTTTTTTTTAATTATTCTTAGCTGGACTGTGCAGCCTGATTTTGCATTTTTTAATATTACATTGTATACATTATTTATGTGTCTGATGAAGCTGCAAGCCTTGTGCCATGTTCTGTTTAAAATGTATATTGGACAGCAGCAGCGGCTTGTCTCGTTGCCACCACTACTTGTAAGACATCATCTGAATTTAGAAACAGTGATGATGTAATGCAGCCTGCTTAGCTTTTCCCTCTCTCTCTCTCTCTCCTTCTTATTTGCAAAGGCTTGACTCCCATGTGCTCCTCCACTGATTTATCCTATTAATTGGCCATATTTCTGAAATATTCCCATTAGTGGCTTCACGTATAGCTCCATCCCCTGAGTCCATAAAATCGAAACTCACACTAAAAAAAAACAGCTTCGTCCCTACAGCAGTCACAACACTTAACATCCAGTGAACCCCACACCTCACACACTTTACTGTACCATTTAATCTCATCTGTATTCAAAGCAGTTTAAGTGGATACCCTGAGGAACTTAACTGAACATACCACACACACACACACACACACACACACACACACACACACACACACACACACACACA